GCTATGAGTTTTTAAGAGAAGAAAAAATCTCACACTTTTCTCTCCTAACGGTGGCTGAAATTTTGAGACAAAAATAGAAGGAAAAATTGTTTCCTTAGGTTTTTTGAAAAGAGCCCACTCTCTCATCCCAAAACACTTAGAGTCATAGTCTTGAATTAATGAGTGGTTTTTGGTGTGATCGTATCGATAGACCAACGATCTTGTTTCACGGCAATTCTCCATCTCGGAACGTGAGATAGTGAGACAAGATCCTTGCAGTCATATTTGATTCAATCGTCACAAAGGTATGATTGTCATTTTATTCCTTTGTCTATAAACATATATCATGCATGTATCTCTCGTTGTGGTTTACATTTAATTTGGAATTAAATAGATATGTTAAATTTTTTGAAATTCCGCCTACAAGTTTGTTGTTGTTCAAATGATTTTTCATTGTAAAAATCACAACTAGATCCTACAGAATGTGGCGGAGATTCACAGTTTTCTCGGACTTGCAGGGTACTATCGGCGTTTCATGAAAGACTTCTCGAGCATTGCTGCACCGATGACTCGGTTGACCAAGAAAGAAGTCAGATTCTAGTGGGACGCCGAATGTGAAAATGCTTTTCAAGAATTGAAGATCAGACTGACAAGTGCACTAGTCTTGATTATTCCTGATAGTGAAGAACTATATGAGGTGTATTCTGACGCCTCAGGGAGTGGGCTTGGCTGTGTCTTAATGCAAGGGGGACGCGTGGTAGCGTACGCATCTCGCCAATTAAGACCACATGAACGGAATTACTCCACTCATGATTTGGAGCTGGCAGCGGTAATATTTGCTCTGAAGATATGAAGATGTTATCTCTATGGAGCAAAATATCAGGTCTTTTCTGACCATAAAAGTCTAAAGTACTTGTTTACTCAGAAAGACTTGAATCTCAGGCAAAGGAGATGGGTGGAGTATATGGAAGATTATGACTTCACTCTACAATATCATCCTGGAAAAGCTAATGTGGTAGCTGATGCCCTTAGCAGGAAGACGACGGGGACTCTGGTGTCATTAGCTTTGGAAGATTGGAAAAGGACTGAAGTGGTGAGTGAGTATAAGCTTCAGTTCTACAAAGATTATAACCAGGCTATGGTGTATAATCTGGGCTCTACACCGGATATTGTGCAACGGGTTAAGCAGAATCAATTGCAGGATCCACACCTCCAAGGAATCTGGATTCGAATCCAGAATGGAGAACAACTCGAGGATTGGAGAATCCGAGAGGATGGAGCCTTGTATTTCCACAACCTCCTTGTTGTTCCTAAGGCAGATGAGTTAAAGAAGACGATTCTGTGAGAGGCTCACAAATCAAAGTTTGCTATACATCCGGGAAGTACAAAGATGTACCAGGACCTGAAAAGATAGTACTGGTGGAGAGGCATGAAAAGAGACGTTCGTGTGTATGTCTCGGAATGTGTGACTTTCCTCCGGATTAAAGCTGAGCATCAGAAGCCAACGGGAGAGTTGCAACCTCTTCCTGTCCCTAGGTGGAAATGGGAGCACATCACTATGGATTTTCTGATGCCGAGAACCGAGCTGAAGCACGATGCCATCTGGGTGGTGGTAGACAGGTTGACGAAGTCCGCGCACTTCATACAATTTCGTGCGACATATTCTCAGAAGATTCTGTCAAAATTGTACCTGGAGCACATCGTGAGACTACACGGAATGCCACTGTCTATCATGTCCGATCGTGATACCCGCTTCAATGCAAGGTATTGGAGGAGTTTCCAGGAAGCCATGGGAACGGACTTGAACTTTAGCACCGCATTTCATCTTCAGACTGATGGGCAATCTGAAAGAGTAATTCAGATTCTGGAGGATATGCTTCGTGCTTGTATTCTGGAATTTGATGGAAATTGGAAGAAATACCTGCATCTTACTGAGTTTGCGTACAACAACAGTTATCAAGCCAGTATCGGTATGGCACCGTTTGAGGCTCTCTATGGTCGTCCTTGTAGGTCACCTGTTTGTTGGTTGGAACCAGAGGATCGACTGAGTACTAGACCAGAGGTCATTCAAGAGAACAATGAGAGCCGTGATTCAGGAACGACTGTTGACAGCTCAAAGTCGTCAGAAAAGCTACGCTGATAGAAGGCGTAGACCTTTGAAATTCCAGGAAGGCGACTCTGTTTTGCTGAGGGTTTCCCCACGTAAGGGAGTTGTTCAGTTTGGTGTGAAAGAGAAACTTGCACCAAGGTATGTGAGGCCATTCCTGATCGTGCAACGAGTTAGAGTGGTGGCTTATCGGTTGGCTTTACCGCCTGAATTATCTCACGTGCATGACGTGTTTCATGTCTCCATGCTTCAGAAATGTCAACCTGAGCCGAAAGCTGTAGTGCAGTGGTTTGACATTCCGATACAGTATTACGTGTCATACGAGGAGGCACCAGTTCAGATTCTTGACCGGAAGATAAATAATCTGCGCCATCGTGAGATCTCGTTAGTGAAAGTATTATGGCAGCACCATGGAGTTGAGGAAGCGACATGAGAGCTTAAAATGACGATGCATGAGGAGTATCCGCATCTGTTTGTGCTTTGAGGTAGGCCTTAATTTCAGGGACAAAATTGCCTAAGGAGGGTGAAGCTGTAACACCCTGAAGAATTAAATGAGATTAATTAAGGTAATTGAGATTATTAGTGTGCCTAATCTGATGTAATTAATTGAGTTTTGATTAATAAATGTTTCTGACGTGTAATTTAAATAGTTCCAAGGTATTTAAATTATTTGAGTAATTTATTTTAGCCCAGAAGTGTGTATGGGCGCATTTCTGGACTGCTCTTTTAAAATATTGACACTTGTCCATTTTCTTTTCTTTCCTTTTTGTTTTTCTTTTCTTTCTTTCCTTTTCTCTTTCCTTTCCCGTGCACACTCTCTCTCTTTTCACTCTCATTCTCGTGCTATCTCTCTCTCTCTCTTCCCATTTTTGTTCCAATCGAACGGATCTTGAACCAAGGAACGATTTCAAGAAGCTTTCAACGTCAAGAGAAGGATTCAAGGTAAGATTTATGGAAAACCGTCTCTTGAATCGTGGATTTGTGAATTTCAAAACTTATTTTTGGATCAAACCGGATATTAATGATTTTTTAGTAGAACCTTGGTAGAAATTGGAGATCTTGGGTTCTTTGGACTTGATTTAGTACCTAGAACCCGGATCTAGTGGTTTTCCTTTGAAATATTTTGATATGGGACTGAGATTGTAGGTTTTGGACTGATTTCTGTGAGCTTCTCTTGCACAGCTAATTCCACCGGCCGACCTGTCTGGTCGACTGGATCACATGGTAACCGGTCGACCGGTGCGGTCGACCGGATTGAATTGGCCTGACCGGTCGACCTGTCCAGTCGACCGGATTGCACACCACCGGTCGACCGGTGGTGATGCACTGTTCTGTCACCAGTCGACCAGTTGACACGGGGTTCGACCCTGTTTGGCCTGAAATTGTTGTTTTGACCCCTGTTTTCTGGGAGAACCCAAATTAGCTTTGATTGGGGACTTGAGATAAATGGATTAGCATATTTAATCCTTGATTTGAGATTGAAAACCCTTGGAATGATAATTTGAAACATGAAAATGGATTAGGGCACACTAATTGGAAACCTTGGTATCTAATTGAGATTGGATTGCTTTAGGAATGAGAATTAATCCTAAAGTGTTGTCTTACATCAGTGATCGCTGAGGATTCAGACTGGAGGGGCTTTAGGAAGCGGAAGCCGGAAAAGGCAACGCTAGTCCCAGGTTTGATAGTGCGAGGTAGGATTTCTATCCCTTTTCCTTGTGAGCCTGATTTTCAAAAAGGATTTCGGCCTTGGAAATGTTTTAAGGAAAGGGGTTGGTTTGCGAAAGAAAAACTCTTTGAAAACCATAGCTTGCTTAGTTTATGGAATCCATGGCTTGTCCTGTCCATGGAATCCATAGCTTGTCCAGTCATGGAACCTCATGGCTTGCCTAGTCATGGGGCCTGCGGCTTGAGTAGTTCGTGGGGTCATAAGAACGATTTCAGAAAGTTAATGAATGATTTCTTAAAGTAAGAGATCTTGTGAACTGGTGAGAGAGTCTATTGCTGTAAGCCTAGATAGGATGCAGATAGTGCATCCTCGGGGGCAGAACTCGAAACTTGGTCCGAGTAGGCGAGGCACTTGGTTAGGTAAGTAATTTGTACTAATTACTTCCTAAAGCCTGTAATATGGAGATTTTACATTTATTTCCTTTGAGAAAAAGGGTGTGAGGTTCCAGCTGTCTGTTGGAGCTGAATGTCTATTTATTCATTTACCCATTTATTTATTTACTCGCACATTCATATGTTCATTTATTTTTAAGTCATTTCAAATTATATCCTACTGGGCCTTTCGCTCACGTTTTATGTTTTAAATGTATTAAACCCCTCCCAGGAGATTCTAGGAGCGGTGCACAGTAGCTGGATATTTACTACGGAGTAGCTGAGTTGTGCTGCTGTTGGAATCAAGTGAGGATCGTGATCATCCTTTGGAATAAATTGTAAGGAATTGAGAATTCTGTAAACTCTAGAAATATTTGGATTAACTAGACTGTGGTTGATGTCTGTTGTAATTTATTATTTACATGTTCATGTATGTACAATGCCATATATCCTGTGGGTGGAGCCCTGTGTGTTGTCAGAGGCTCGGGATTCTGTAATTTATTTATATTTTAATGGAATTAAGTGGGGCTCGTCTGGGAATCTGCTTTATTAACCCTTAATCGAGCTCCACGTCACCCACCCCATTTGGGGGACGTGACACGTACATGTTTTTATTTTTGCTCTAATGCACTATGTTATTTGAAATACTAAGGCTTGTTCGGGTGCACATTTGAGTTATGATTTAAATTGAGAATCTATTTGAGTTTGTGTTTCAGTATGACAAAACTTGAATTTATATTTATATAGTATTTTAATAAAAACTCAATGTTGATGAAAAATTTTAATAGGGTATATGGGTGGGGTTTTATTCGTCTCTTCGTTGTGAACGTATAGAAAAAAAAAAATCATCTCAATCGGAATTAAAACGAAAAAGTTATAACGTTTTTAAGAATTGGAAAAAATATTGTTCATTAACTTGAGTTTGAGTTTAAGAACTTGAGTTGAAGGAGAAACTTGACCTCAGATTTTAGCCACAAACTTAAGTTATAGCACAAGTTGAAACTCAAATTTTACAAACGAACATGAACTTGAATAAAGTTGTAACTTGAGTTCAAACTTTGTTTGAGTTTTACTCCAAAGAACAAGCCCTAAAATCTAATCATTGAGCTTTGAGAGTTGTAAAAGTAAACTTTTAATTTTAAAATAATTTGAAAAGGTAAAAGTTATAATAATTAAATGAAATGGTAACCATATCAACCAATAAGAATCAAGTGTCAAATTTTTCATATGTTATACTTGGTAGGAAATTTACAATAAGGTATAGCATATGGTAAATTTGACAAAACAAATAACATTGCATAGGAGAGTGTTTTTTGTACTCAAATGCTAAATTTACAAATGGTACATCAATTATAAAATTACATTAGAAATGCTCTAAACATATAAACTAATAGCAATCAAATGATAAATTTGTCATATGCTTTACTTGGTAGGAAATTTGATATAAAGTATTGCTATGGAAAATTTGGCACAACAAATGACATTACATTAGAGAATATTTTTATACTCAAATGTACAATTTTTAATTGACATATTAATTATAACATTGTATTGGAGGTGTTCTAAAGGATGAAATATGTCATTAAATATTGCGTGAGATCATACTTAAACGACAAGGTAACTAACGAGGACCAAAGTGTGATACACAATCATGCAATATGTCAAGAGAAAATATTGATTGGGTAGAAGTATGGCCAAAAAAAAAACTTTGGATATCTGTTTGAAAATTTTATATATTCTAATGATATATTAGAATGTGATAATATATATATATAAATTAATAATTTAATACAAAACCTTTATACATAAAATTTTGAGAAAATTGTATAATTTATCCTTAAGAATGCATGAATATGAATTTTTACCTCTTTTTTATTAATACCCTTTTGTTAGTATAGTTATTTGACTAAAAAGGTTATTAATTAAGAGTAAATGGTAAAAATCTCGCATGCATTTTTAAGGGATATTTTTCTCATTTCTCCTAAAATTTTGCAATTCTTTGATTTATTTTTTCAAGGATCGGGCCAGAGTGTCATTTGTCTAATAAGGTGAATTTAAGGTTTTGAGATAATTATAAATTCTAACCCCTTGAGTACCTGACTTATAAAAACTACCCCATTTAAAAAACTCTACCCCTTCACTAGTTTTAGTTTAAAATGTAGAAATATATTAGTTAATGTTAAGGGGTAGAAATAAAAGAGGGCTCTATTTCAATGAATATTTTTAAAAATTGGCCATTTAGTTTCATTTTGTTTAACCAGTTATACTTACTTGTTTTTACCAATATTTAGTATTTTATATGATCCGAAGGTAATTGAAAATTATGATGAGGATTGTTCAGTTCTTTCACTTATATTTCGAGCCTGTTTGGTTTTTTTATTTGAACAGAAATTTAAAATTTTATTAGTGAAAATGTTACAATAAAAAGATTTAAACAACGGTTTAAACTGTGAACCAAACGTGGCATTAATATTCACGAACAGTGTAAAAGCTCACATGTTGACCAAAATAGTAAATTTCATTGGGGAGAACTTGCCAATTCTTATGAAAAAGATTTGTTTATTTATACACCTTAATAAATTTAAGGCTAGAAATTCGTGTTTGCGTGTCGTGTTCGGGCCAACACGATTATAGTAAACACGAACACGACACGATTAATAAACGTGTCAGAAACTCAAACACAAACACGAAACGTTAATAACACGGTTAACACGACACAACACGCGAACACAATTACTAAATAGGCCGTGACGGCTCGACACGAAAAACACACATTTACGACCCATTTATGACCCAACTAGCAAAAATAGTGGAATTTTATATTGTATTCAAAACTAATATTAATTGACTACTTAATATCACTTATAGTTAAAACTTGTCGAGCATATAATAAGAAAAACATAAATCCTTCAATTCTCCATGATAGCCAACATATATAAAAATATCTAAATATCAAACACACACACACATATATATATAGCTATGATACTACTAGATTATCATATATATATGTTTCAAAATATGACAAATTACCAAACATCTAAAGAAGTTTGAAAACATAACCAAGTACATCTAAATAAGTTTGAAAACATAACCAAACATTTGATTGTACTTAAACATAAAATAAATATAGGAAAATGTCTTCTTTAAGGTTGAATGCCCAACTACGCTCCAAAATTAGTTTCCAGTTGTTTTAACCTATTCATTGATGTTTTTTTTATAAATGTCATAAGGTTGAATGTATTTTTTAATTTTTTATAAATTTTATATTTTTGTATATGGGGTTATAAACGGGCGGGCCGTGTTGTGTCGTGTTAGCCCGTTAATGGCCCG